ATAAATGAAAAATAAGTTCACAGATTACTAAAGTCTATTCATTTACCAATATAGGCCAGGCCCAGATATTTTCCCTCCAAATAATGTGTTCCTTTAACAAGAGCTAGGTAGGGAGACTTCCATTGCCATAATAGTAATACCGTGTTTCCCCAAAAATAAGACTGGGTCTTATATATTTATTTTTGCTACAAAAGACCCATTAGGGCTTATTTTCAGGTGGTGTCCTACTTTTTTCATGTACAGGAGGCAGTGAGCATGCAGGAGCCGATGGTGTCCGGCAGCAGCTGCAGCCCGCCGGCCCCTTGGCCAGTGCACTATGGGGTTGGGCAGCCTGTGCAGCGCAGGTGAGTCAGAGAGTTGTGACTGCTGGGCCAGCCCTCCAAGCAGCAGGCAAAGGCAGAGGCGCGGGGGGGGGGGAAGGCACGCAATCCGGCCCACCAGATGCAGCAGGCCCGCCATGGTGCATCTGGCGGACTGAGTTGCCGGACCTCTACCTCCACCTGCTGCTGGTGCCGCCACTGCGAGGCAAGGCAGGTGGTGGGACGGGGGTGGCCTGGCTGCAGGACCCGCTCGCTCACCTGCCCATCTCACTCCACCTGCCAGACACCCGCTGAAGACACGCAGGGCAGGGTAGGCGTTGCCGCCCGGTCCTTCAGCTGCCCCCACCTGTCTGCATCACTCTCCTCGCGTGAAGGGCGCGTTCTGCCAGCCCTGCTGCCGCCTCCAAGCAGCTGTCCTGGTAAACCCACGGAGTGAGGGTGTAGCAACCACCTTCCCTGGTGCCCTCTCCTGTGCCTCATCCTTGCAACTAGTCTGCAAGAGGCAGAAGGAAGTGGCAATGGTGGTGGCGGCGGCTTCTGAAATTGATCCAGTGAAGAACGGATGGCTGAGGAAGCCCTTCTGCAGTCGGCGAAAGAGCCAAGTGGCAATTGCTCGGGGAGAAAAAAAAGGCAAGGGAGTGTGTGAAGAAATCTTCCTCTTGGTTGCTTCTTATGGGGAGCATCTGGCTACACGGGTCACAGCGAGAACTCGGAAGTCCCGGGCTGGCTTCCGAAGGCACAGGGCTGGCTGTTGGCTGGAGCTGAGGCATCTTTGGGAAGGGTCCCCTCCCTCCCCCTCCCCCTCCCCCAGAGACCTATGGATCCTGCACCCGGACCCCCACAGATGCCCCCTCCAACGCAAGTGACATGGAGCTAGCCCCCCCCCGCAATCACAATACTAAATGCCTCTGTCTGGCTGATGATCTTAACTGGGGCTTATTTTCGGGATGGGGCTTATATTACGATCATCCTGAAAAATCATGCTAGGGTTTATTTTCTGGTCGGTTTTTATTTTCGGAGAAACACGGTAGTTTAAACTATATACTGCTCTATCCTACAGGGCCTCAAATAATTTGTTCAGCTGTACTGTACATTCCTAGCAAATCTTCAGCCCTCCCAGTAGCATTCTCTATGGCAATACATGGCTCAATCTGAAGTTTTGGGGCTTAAAAGGTCTGTGACTGTGTTGAAATAACACTAAATCAAAATGACACAAACCACACTACGGTGTATTATGTTCTCTGTGTATGATCTTCAAAGTTGGAAAGTGTTTTTCTAACCCACAAACTACTGTAGATATATATACGAAAAATGTTAAGAATGCATGCAGTGATAACAGATAAGCATTTAACTGTGTAAATATACAGTTAAATATTTTTATTATTCAATAAATGTAACATTTTTATAAAAGGATTATTATTATGCCTCTTTTCTACCAGATTTTCAGTTCTTATTTCTGGATAATGGTTAGGCTATGCAAAGTAGGCCAGAAAGAATATGCTATATCAATTATATGATATGCCATATCAATTATATAAACACTTGAATACAAAAATGCATCAAATGTAAATCCAAATCGTTCTACATCTTTTCATAGGTTAATTCATGACCACATGTGCTGCAGATCTTTCTGTACGTATCATCATCTATCATTTCTTCAGTTCCATAGTCATGTTGGTGGATACTTGTGTCTTTCTTCCATAAACTACTTCTTACAGCTCGCCGTAATTCTAATACAACAGAAATAAGGAGCACAGTAGTTAAAACACGCACACACACAAATAAATAAAATCAATTAACCCCAATGACACTCTGTATGTGCTCTGAATGGGAGTATTGTATTGTATTCCAAAACATAACTAGGGACTAAATCCTAATTATTTTCATTAATGTTCTGTTTTTGAAAGTGAATGTGCAGATGGAATTGGGATGAATCTAGAGCAGGGGTGTCAAACTCAATTTCATTGAGGGCTGCATCAGCATTGTGGTTGCCCTCGGGGGGAGCGGGGATGTGTGGCCAGGGTGGGTACGACCTACTGGGTGGGTGTGGATGGAGTGGGTGTGGCCTGTTGGGTGGGCGTGGCCAGCTCTACATCGTTCACGTCAAGGGTGCCTGTGGGGGCCTGGGCAGGAGTGGGACAGATCTGAGGGTCTCTGGCAGAAAGGGGTGGGACCAGGGCAAGTGCCAAGGCATGGTCCATTTCTTCATTCCTCACAAAGGGTGACACCTCCCCAGCATGCACCCAGGGGGCGGAGCCAACACAGCAGGGGCTGGTTCCTTGCTGTTTCCAGACGGCCTTGTGGAGCTAAGACTGAATGCGTTTCAGCATAGATGGCCACCACAAAATTGTACATTGGCTCCTGGCTGGCCTGGGCCAGGGCCAAGGCAGTGGGGGCCGTTCCCTCACTGTTTCCAGGATGGCTTCGCGGGCCACATGAAACCACTTCGCGGGCCACATCCGGCCCCTAGGCCTTGTGTTTGACATGTCTGATCTAGAGTGATTTTTAAAGTCCATTAGATAGATCAGAGGTCCTCAACCTTTTGGGCACCAGGGACCGGTTCCATGGAGAGAGGGTTTTTTCCATGGACCGGAGGATGCGTGGTTTTGTGTGCTGCCTGCATCCCGCGGATGGGGCTTTGCTTGTTTGTGCGGACCAGTTGCTGGCATGCCACAGCCCGGTACTGATCCACGGACCGGGAGTTGGGGACCCCTGAGATAGATGATAGTGATCATAAAAAGCAGACATAAAAGAATGTAACTCTTTCTCTGGATTTCATATATTAAGCCCCTCATCTTTCAGCCAGTGGGGCGTCAGTCACCAAGAGTATGATGAGTGCAGTAAAGCTGGCTGGTTGTGTGTATGTGTGGGTGGGGGTGGGTGGGTTGGCTACTTGCAGAATTCCAATTTACCTGACAGTTATGCCATCCTTTCTAGCTCTCTCCTCCCTCCCAATTAGCTTTCCTTTTTCTTTTTGAAAAATAAGCACTAATATGAGACTTGAGTTCTAGTCTGATTTGGACACAAAGGCAGCTGGGTGACCTTGTGCCAGTCCCTCTCACTCAGCCATGGGAAGGAGGCAATGGCAAACCACTTTTGAAATCTTTGTTGCAAGGGCTTTTCCGGGCAATTGCCAAGAGTCAACATTGACCCAAAGGCACTAAAAAAAAGAAAAGAAAAGCACTGCTATAAACAGTTGCATCCACCCGACATTTTTACTTTTGAGTCAAATATACTGGGTCTGAGTGGAATCCAAGAATGTTGTTTGAAAGAAAGCTAATTTGTGGAGACTAGTACACTGTCCTGCAGTAGAGAGGGGGCAGGGAGGTTTACATTTACCTTTAACTTTTTTATCAATTTTTTTCTGTTTCATCTTCTCTCTGTTATCTTGGCGGTTTTCTTTAGCTTCTTCTAGTGCTTCCTCACTACCCCAAACTTCAAGGGAGCGCTTAATTACCTGTAAATACCAAGCATCATTTGAATAAGATTTAGAGGACTAGAAAGAAATGATTAGATCAGCTAGACCAGGGGTAGGCAACCTTGGCTCTTTTATGACTCGTGGACTTCAACTCCCAGAATTCCTGAGCCAGCCATGCTGAGGGAAAAGGGAGAGGTTTCCAAGCTGAGCCATGCTGGCTCAGGAATTCTGGGAGTTGAAGTCCACGAGTCATAAAAGAGCCAAGGTTGCTTACCCCTGAGCTAGGGCTACTGTATCTAGGCTACAAAAGCCTGGGGGAAACATTAGCTGGTAACAAAAAGATTTTCTGTATGTGTTGCCTCCTGGAATTTTGCAACCCTGGGAGAAAAGACCATCTCAAGGAAAACTTTATATGCAGTAATGTCCCAGCCCCATCTTTGTGTTGGCTGCAGTACAACAAAGAAGGGCTCTTGTTCTCAGCTAGCTCTCTTCAGCAAAGAATATCGGGCTATCTTCACTTACTACTATTTTCATTCAGAATCTGTGGGGAAAGGGCTGTCTTATTTAAGAAGATTCTTTTCATTGAAGAATAGCAATTTATACGAAGAAGCAGTCCCGTTTACTTTTTCTGACAATACTACAATAGAAATGAACGCTTGTGGGAAACAGCATGGCAATCGTGCAACAGATTCAGAAAGACCGTGGAAGTCGCAATGAGATTAGTTTCACAGAGGCTGAACCTTTTTTTTTTTTTTTTTAGAAAATAGGAAATGAATCCCTCCTTAGTATATATATTAAACTATATTGGTAGTTTAATGGTAAGTTACAGAGGGTTATATGTAATGATGTCTCCCAACTGGCACCATTTGCCACACTGTTTTCAAAGGGTTCCTCAATTTTTTGGAAAAGATTTTGCAGGTTACAAACACCCTTCCCTTCCTTGTTGATAGAAAACTACACTGAATCAAAAGGCCTTGCCTCAGTAGAAAGGCACACTCTGATATAATTCAGTTCCTACTTGTAACCTACCAGCAACAACAAAAAATATCAAGAGACAGTTGGATCATATAGCTCAGTGGTGGCGAACCTATGGCACGTGTGCCACAGACGGCACTCGGAGCCCTCTCGGTGGGCACGCGTGCTGTCACCCCAGCCCCAGCCCCCCCCGTGGCCCCCTCCTCACCAGCAGTCCCCTGGAGGAGAGTCGCCTAGGGTGCAGCCTGTGCAGAGCAGCGCAGCCAAGGACAAGGCAGCCGGGCAGCGAGGACAAGACTCCGCCCTCGTGCCCCATCACCTGCAGATGATGCTGCGAGGTGCAGACAGAGGGCATGGCCGCCATGATGCTGCTGGGCCGCCTGGGTGATCTGCTGTGGCGGGCTGTGGAGGCGGTGGGTGGCCTTGCAGGCAGGAGAGGCGGGGGCAGGGGTGAGGCGGTTTTGGGGTACTCGGCCATCACTGATATAGCTGGATCATATATGCCCAACTCCAGAGAAAAATTGGAATGTTGTTAGAATACAGAGAAGTTATACCGTTGGAAGAAAAATATTAAGAGGACAAGATTCAATACCTGTAGTTTTAAATAAAGTTTCATATCACCCCAGTGTGGATTATGAGGATTTTTCTTCAGAATGAATCTAAGCATTGGTTCTCTCTTGTCCAAATCACAGTCTTTCAGAAGATACTCTTGCTTTGCTTCAGTCCTTGTTAAGAGTTTATGTTTGTTTTCAACATCTCTGAAATGAGACCCCAATCCAAACTGAACATGCATTCTATGTATTTGCATATATCAAATAATATAGAGGCTACACCACTAACTAATACTTAACTTTGTATTTTTATGTTCAGTGGAACATATTTTAAGATAAGCACACCGGATATCAGGTTGGTCTGTGCTAAAAAAAAAGCCTTGAAAATTATTTGGAAAAAGAGCTTCAAACTTTACAAAACCACAGTTCTTTTTTCCAACTTCCACATGAACCTGAAAAAAAATATAACTGCTTTAATGAACAGAATATTTAAATCAATCCTTAAGCCACATCTTTTTTTAAGCCTTGTGTGGAAGCCTGTAAAAGGGTGCATTAAATGAACATTAAAAGGTATGCTCGGGTGAAATCAAACACTTCTTCCAAATCATTTTTGAAGCATGCACAGTATTAAATATCAATGGAACCACGTTGTAATCTGAATTTTATCTTTAAGCATTCCACTTGATAGAAATAAGCACAAGTTTGACAATTTAAAATAGAATCCTAAACACACTTACTAGAAAGTAAGATTCCCTGGGAATATTTTCCAAATGTGCATGCATAAGTGTCATTTAAATAGGTGCAACACTTAAATTAATTCCACTGAAATCAACAGGATTGTTACAAGTGCTTAAATCTGTTTTGATTATGCTCAAATCTCTATGTATCTGTACTTATCTAACACTGGAAATATGTTGACAACGATGTACTGTTAATCAACACAGCATATATATATATATATGTATGTATGTATGTATGTATGTATGTAGGTCTTTGGTTATTCGGGTTTTCTCCCGCGTAAAATTGGAAGTGTCTTGCCGACGTTTCGACGAAGTCCCATTCGTCATCTTCAGGCTGGTGTCTTCAGCTTTGTGCTTCTTACTCCTAGAAGCACGAAGCTGAAGACACCAGCCTGAAGATGACGAATGGGACTTCGTCGAAATGTCACCAAGACACTTCCAATTTTACGCGGGAGAAAACCCGAATAACCAAAGACCTACATACAAACACCCGCGAAAACCTCAGAAAACACACACACACACACACATATATATATAATATAATATGCAATCTTATAAATGTTTACTTATTCATGTTTACACTATAACAAAGATCTTTATCGTCCGTAAGTATATTTGGGATTTCAGCCTTTTAGTCTGTTTCTACATGTACATTTATAAAAATAAATGTCATTGTGTTTAATTGAGTATATTCTTGCAAAAGGAGGTATAACATTACACACTCCGTTTCTGTTAAAATTTATGGTTTTAAAATATATTCATTTGCATATTACCAACATTTGGGGGGCTGGTATACATTTAAAAATATTTTGATTATTCCTTTTTGATTATCCAAAA